CTCCTAGTAGCGATGCCAGGAGCCCCTAGTAGCGTCCTTGCTCCTAGTAGTGATGCCAGGAGCCCCTAGTAGCGTCTTTGCTCCTAGTAGCGATGCCAGGAGCCCCTAGTAGCGTCCTTGGTTTACTAGCGAAGCCCCTCGGCACAGATGGTGCAAGACACCCCCCTCCATCAGCGGAGTCCCGGCGGTCCGCCATGCTTTCGTGGCCATGGACTGCCTTGCTGGTGATCCTCCTACAAACTGCACTGATCTGTCCGCCTGGTCCCAATTCCAGGACCGTCCAGATGCACCGCTTCGATGAATTTGAGTGGCTTGCACATCAATGGAACAGTTTTTTTGATGAGCTTTTGGACGGTAGGGGTGAGGGTGAGGCACTGACCATGCAGTGCCTCAGAAGGGCTGGAACTGTGGTGGACTTACCGCTGATACGTATCATGAACTACTGCTTTGGCTCTCCCTTCACAGGATAGATGTTTGCTTTGTTCAAGGAACACGATGGGGGATAGATGAACCATGGGAAAGCTGCGGATTTGCATTAGTGCCAACTCCCTCACAGAACAATGCACATGATGGGCTTCTCACCATCATTCGAACTCAGCTCTGTCCGCCATCCGCTATCAGCCATGCCAATGTCCTTGAAGGCAGGCTGCGACATACACGTTGTCACTTGGATACCATCACGATAGATTTGGTCAACTGCTATCAGCATCCCAATAATCCTGCCAGAAATAGGCCCGACCCTATTCGAGCTCGTGACACTTTTTGGCATGCATGGGAGGACCTTTTAGCTAAGCTACCATTTCGGAATCTCCTCATCACGGCAGGTGACTACAATTGTTCCTTGGATGCCTCGACCTGTTCCACGACGCAAACAGCATCCTTCCCTGATCAAGCGGCCTTTAAGGCAGTTGTCGACAGGTTTTCGTTAGCCTCTGTTAGAGTACATGACCCAGGTCCCACATACATTGGTCCTGCAGGCAATTCGAACATTGATTACCTTTTCGCACGACGTCCACAGTTGGATCAAATGTCACGTCAAGCATGCTGTATCAGGACCTTCCCACTGAACACTCATCGGGGATACCCTGACCACGCTCCAATTGTGACTACCATCCCACTGAACTGGCAGACTCGAACCGTCAAGCCTCATCTGTCACGAGCCACCATGCAATGCATGCGCCAGGAGTGGGACACCAGTTCCCCCACTCAAACCTTCGAGTCCCAGATTGACCAGCAGTTGAGGCAAGCGTCCATGCAGCATGTCCAACCCTTGCAACTTACCAATCATGTAGTTCAAGCATGCTCAACTCACTTTCGCGCCTCACCACCCAACCACCTGGAATCTTCCAGTCACCAGGTCCCTGGTTGCTTTGAAGTGGAGACATCTTCACCTTGCGCGCAACGCTCAGTCTTGTACTAGTCCGCTATAGCCCAAGTCTTTAAAGCATGGCTCCACATGAGTCAGCATTTGAAGCTTGGGACACGTCTTCGGAAGCACTGCCAAGTCAAGCGTCAAGAACGTGTGAACAAAGTCATCCAGGAGGCCACCGGAGCTGCGTATAGACATGATTCCAGAAGATTGTACATGGCCATTCGGTCCTTGACTCCAAAACAGCCTCGTCGACAGATCAGGTATTGGGAAGCCGGTCTTGCACAAACCCCGCAGGAGGAGCTCAATGCATTGAGGGCTCATTTCGAAGCCATCTTTCGCGCATCCACCTCAGAAATACCCACTCTGCAAGCAGTGACAATGCCTTTCACTCAGGCTGACTTGGAACATGAACTTCGAGCCACCAAGATTGATAAAGCTGTAGCCCCAGGCACCCTGCCGCCATTAATCATTAAGCACTTTGCGCCCCAACTAGCGAGTTGGTTGTACAGGTACTTGGAGATCACATGGCAACACCATCAGCCATCGATTCCGTCTGAATGGAAGGACGCTGTTTTGATTTTGCTTGCAAAGAGAACAGTCACTAATCCCACAGACCTCAGACCCATTGCTCTCACCTGTGGATTGGGCAAAGCTGTGCTAGGAGCACTGGTCAAAGCTGCCTCTTCTCATATGGTTGTGCACTTAATCCAGTACCCTCTTTTTGCCTACACTGAGCGTAGAGGGGTGTTTGAGGCACTGTGCTATGTTTTCGACCATTGTCATCAGGTCCGGACGGAATGCACCATGGCCAATCCGTCGCATTGGCAGAAACAGGCAGGGCACACCAAACCCAAATTGGTAGGTGGGTTGATGTTGTCTCTTGATCTCTCTCAAGCATTCGACAGGCTGCCGCGGTCGAAACTCTGTTGAATTGCAACTGCCCGCCGTCGATAGCACTGCTGTTGGTCAACTGGCTCAAAGATGCCAAATACAGCATACACCATAGGGGGTTGACTTCTGAGGTTGTCACAACTTGTGGGGTTCATCACGGATGTCGAGGTAGCCCTTTAGAGTGGAATGTGTTCATGACTACTATACTTCAGGCGCTATGCCCTATTCTTGAATGCGCTGTCAGCCAACTGATTCACCGGCTGATTTGCTTCGCAGATGACCTTTTGATGCGTTGGAAAATTTGCAGCCCGACTGAAGTTCATCAGGCATTGCACGCAGTTGGTCAGATTTTAGACGTTCTTGAACGGCATCACCTGATTTTTAATCCAAAAAAGACAGTCATGCTCATTCGTCTTGAGGGCTCTCAGGCGGCAAAGCTCACGAAACAATGTCTCATTCGCACCAAGGAAGGATTGTTTGTTAGGATTCCAAGGTCCTCGCAGGAGACCCTGTTGCCGGTTGTCCATTCTCACACATATCTTGGTTGCAAAATATCATACCATTGTTTTGAAAAGCTGACGCTCAATCATCGCATCCACATAGGAAAAACCGCCTTCCAAAGACTTCGACCGTGGCTCGTAAAGCGCCATTCAGTTACCTGGAACACGAGGGCCCAGGTGTGGAGATCGTGCGTCCTCAGCTCGTATCTCCACGGTCTTGCAGCAGCTGGTCTTAAGCAGGAAGGCTTGCATAAATTGGTTGCCAGGTGTAATGCGGATCTTCGACTATCAGGGCAATCACCTGGTCATGTCACACATGAGAGCAATGCTGACTTGTTCCGTCGCTTGGGAGTCATGGATCCACTGTTTGGACTGCAGGCGCAGTGGAATCAACTGTTCGATCGTCTTGAACACAATCAGGCGCAGCTTCACTCAACAGACTTTTTGTGTTCCTTGCCGATTGCCAGTATCAAGCGTCGTACCATGTCTATTTTTGATCACGCAAAGGCGCAAATCTTTGCCTGGGAACTAGCATGTCCGTATTGTCCTCAGCACTTCGTTGATATGACCGCTTTGAATCGTCACCTGGTCCTTGTTCACAAAATTTCACGTACTACACATGTCTTCCTCTCAACTAGAGATGCTCTGCAAGGACGACCGCAATGCCGTTACTGCCACTTCAAATTCTATGATTGGGGAGGCTTGAAACGACATATCCCTCGGGATGGATGTCCAATGTTTGATCCTGACTTGGAGAAACAGGTACCACCTGCAGACCAAGCAATTTTTCGAGAACATGCTCATGCTGAAGCTTGGATGGCCTTGGTGGAACAACCAGATCTCATCGGTGTCCTCAGAGAGCACTGTGTCTTGTGTGGTCGTCACTTCTTCACAGGGAAAGCCCTCTTGGAGCATTTGAATGTCAACCACTATGAAATGTGGTCCGCGTCTAAAGCACAAGCACCGACCATCATCAATGCTCTCAGGGATGGGAAGCCCTGTCAAGCATGTGGCAAAAGCCCATTGCAAAAGCACACGCCTGTCATGTGATCAGGCAAATGGCCATCCTGCATGACCTATGCTCCACAAACCGATGCACCGAGGACGTAGCCCATGGGAAACCTGTGGTACCTAGCCACCCAAGCCGGAAGCCCAATGGCAAATTCCTGAATCAGGCCAGAGAATCAAGACTTCACCACGGACTGCTTTGAGCTTTCGATCCATCAACTCATATCATCCAAGACGTGATAGCGCTGATGGCACACCCACTTGTGCCCACTGCCAGTGTGTTCTGCAGGGCAGCTACTTCGCTCTCAGGCGCCACATCGAGACGGGTTGTTGCAAGTCCTTCAACTCCAATCGTCCCCTGGGAAGCCACATTCCCCTGACATGGCCTGAACTCATGACCATGGCCAAGAACAGTGAGACAGACCTCATCCTGCGCAAACAGGTATTTGTTCAAGCACTTCGTACCGTTTGTGCACTCTGTCACAGGCACTGCACCAAACCAGGAGCTCTTCTTCTTCAGCACCATCTACAGGACCATGCCACCGTGGTCCAGGAGGCAGCAGATCGAAGCACCAACCTGCAAAATCAGGCAGCTGCTATGGGACGTCCGTGCTACTGTGGGAATCGCATGTTTCGAAAAGGTCATCATTGTGTGGTCTTAAGTTGCCATGTTGCAAGTGACTGCAAATACCAGCGCGGAGAATTCCAAACCAGCTGAAGTCACCAAGCGGGAGTCACAGGCTGCAGTGTCTCTGAGCCAGGTCAAGAAGCACGCTGAGTTGGAGCTGGATGCCTATTGGGAGCAACCTGATCTACGTTCTGTCAGCTCTGCCTTTCTCTCGCAGACCTCGAATCACATCTCATGACAAGTCATGCCACCCTGGCAGCACCAGCTCTTGAGACATACGCAGACTGTTTGAGCCCACAACTCGATTGCTGCCACTTTTGCCTAGACTCAAACGGGATTGAAGAGTTCTGCCCAGCAGCACTCCACTTGGCCTTTCTCAGGGCCCATAGACAGGTGGCTAGCGCTCCGCTACCATCCACTGATGGGAACCTTCGAGATCAACGAGGACGACGTGATGGGTCAAGTTCAGGATGCCCTCGGAGGTCTATTCAGCAATACTTCCGGTCCAGTCAAAAACGTGGCAGACCGGAGGAGCTCCAATCCGAGAATCAGGAAACACTGGAGCGCTTGCAGAAGGCAATGAGCCTTCTGACGGCACTATCCCTGAGGCACGAGTCCCAGCTTCAGGCCCAGGCCTCTACAGACCAGTTCCTGCTCTTCTTTCAAATGAATCAGCGCGGGATCCTTCCGGCCTTGATGACTCACACGTCCACGTGGAAGAAGGACATGGAAGCGAGCAAAGTCAACAAACCTCTACGAGTGGTTCTCTTCCAACTGGTTTGCCAAACCACTTTGGACAAGATGCTGGCACTGGCCAAGGTGTGTCAGAGCAGCCAAGAATGGGAACAGGCGGTCAAGCACCAAGTGATCACGCCAGAGGGGAAATGGCCCTACTTGCAATGGTGCAGCGAGACGAAAAGCTTCAAGCAGACCACCAAACCACCCCTCGACATGGTGAAGATGGAGAAACATTTGGAGGACTTGGTGGAGGCGGCTCAGTCCGAACTGGAATCAATGGATTACCAACTGCAACGATGGCGTCCGAATTCCTGAAAGCTTTTTTGGCCTACACCAGGTGGTTCAGTCCAATGAGCAGGTCACGATCGTGGATCGAGGTACGGCCTTTTTGCCACCATCCTTGACCACGAGTGACGCCACTGCTGAAAAAGTCTCGCTGCAATCCTTGATCAATGAATGGCACAATTACATGGGCATGGTCACCGCTTTCGACACTGATAGCCCGCTGCTGTGCTTCCAGATTGATCGATTCAAACCTGACTCCCAAGGTACTCCAGTGAAAGCCACCTGGCACCTCGAGCTTTCCATGGGCGAGATCTTGGTGTCCCCAGACCCTGAAAGTCTCACGGCTGAGGTGTAGGAATTTGTTCCGATAGCAGGCATTGCGCACAAGGGTCGTGACCAACAAGGACACCTCCAAGTTGGACGGACGACCAAAGGCTGGGTACTGTTCGAAGATGGCGAGGAATCTTGCTGCCATCCAAGTGATAGTAACTCGATACCATGGCCAGCAGATTGGATCTGCGTGTGGCTGCTTCGCAACACCCGCTACCTTGAGGTCACTGCGTCCTATAGTACATCCGAGGCCATGATGCCAAGGTACACCATGCAAGCAGTCCAGCTTCTCGATCACAAGAGCTGGCAAGAACTGGAGTCTCGAGAAAGCCTGATCCACTACTTTGCAGTTCATTGCGGCGCATGCAGATCACCCTGGCACGACATGTCTTCCAACGACATTTTTCGCTCCGCTGGACCCTGACCCGAACTTCTGAGCTCCTTGGCCTGGACCATAGAGGACCAGGAGCCCCTAGTAGCGTCCTTGCTCCTCCTAGTAGCGATGCCAGGAGCCCCTAGTAGCGTCCTTGCGCCTAGTA